ATCCATGTGGCACTGGTTTTAGGTGCATGAAGAATGCAAGAGTTGTGGGGTCAGGAAGGCTTCTACCCAGATTTCAGAAGAAGTCCTGGGAGGAAGGGGAGGAGCAACAATCAGGATGTGCCGTGTACACGACCCAGTTTCCCAAAGTGAGGGCAATTGTTATGTAACGCAAACACAGAGCCATAAAAATAAAAATCAAAGTTGCTTTGCTTTCTGTGAGCAATTTAACATAGGTTTCACAACTAAAAAGTATTCGATGCAATTCATCACCTTCACAAGAAAAAAATAAGAATTTTCGGATTAGCTTAATGAGGATACACAACGTGAAACCTTTGAACACATTCTGCCCGATTTCAATTAGTCGAGAAAATTAGCATTAGGCGAGCTCCTCCTGACTCCAAAAGGGATCCGTAACAGTAGAGTGCTGTGAGTCAAAACAGTAAGGAAAAGATTCCAACATTTTTCTCCATCAAAGTATTTCAAAAAAGGACAAAAAGAATCAGAAATGGTAGCTTCAAAAATCTGGAAATAAACCAAACTCTTGAAACACTCTGTGGAGCATTTATGTAAGAAACACGTGTGCACTGCTATTCCAAAAGGATAACAACAGTGGCTCTGATGGCATCTTCCCCTTGCCCTAATCCCAACCATTTCCTCAGCCTCACATTTGCCCCAACGTCTGACAGCCCACGGTGATGGGCAGAAAGAACAGGAGCAGCCCGCAGTGACTGGGGTCAGCTCAGCCCGCAGCCAGGGCTCCTTCCACACTCACCCCAGGAGAACCGTCCTCACTGCCCCATCAGCACCTGCTCTGGATCCCTCTCCCTCCAGGGCGCACTCGGAGCTGTTTCAAACGTCGCTAACTCTGAAGGGCCTTTGCGTGGAGGCCTTTGCTGTGTACAAGCAGAGGCAACTGTTCATCATCGCACGACCCAGAGGTAGAGGACAGCTTGGGACAACACTAGTATATCCAGAGCATTCAAAAAGAAAACCAGGAGAACGACATCTCGAAGGGGCCTTGATGAGCTCTGACAGACTCCGAGGAGCCTCAGAGGCTCTGCACGTACAACGAGCCCCGTGTGTGCTCCAAGGGCCCGAGGAGACGCTGGGCTCTCACCTCGGCATGACCTGGAGGCTCTGTGGCTCACACTGGAAGTGAGGGCTCAGGCAGAGCTGCCTCCTGTCAGGCTGAGGGTCGGAGGCACAGGCACCAAGTATGCAAAGGCCCTCAGCAGTGACAGGAGGATGTACAGTATTGATCTGAGGGGTTTCAGGATATTTCTTTCAGCTGAAATTATTATTTTTTTTAATTTCACCAACCATACATGCTAACTTAACAGAATTCTTTGAAAAGTCTCTCTCTCTCTCTCTCTTTCTCTCTCTCTCTCTTACACACACACACACACACACACACAAAGATAACAACAGCAAACACACTACAAGGAATTTTCTGACCTCCAAGGGGGATACACTGTGTGATTTGAAAGGCCAGTTTTAAATTGTAAAAGGACATGGAAAGATGTGAGAAAATGTGCCCCCCCCACACCAAACACAAGGGAGGAAGAGAGCTGCCATTCAACCTAGGATGCCTGCTTAAAATCCCGGCCTGCTCTCCATAATTTCCACCTGGAAAAAAGTATCAGAATTAATAAAGCTGTATTTAAAATACAAATGTAAAAGGTAAAACAATAAAGTTTTTGGCTGGGGATTTAGCTCACTGGTTCAGGTGCCTGCCTCACAGGCGCAAGGACCCAAGTTCAATCCCCAGTACCAAAAAAGGAAAGAAGCCAAAAAAGAATAAAGGTAACAGAACATCTTCATAGCTTGGGCTACATCAAGATTTATTCAAAAAGACCCTAAATGTACTGTTAAGGAAGTGCTAGCATTCTTGGATTGTTAAAAGTGATGCGTATTAAAGTGAAAGCTGCAGTTGACAAAAGAGAATAAAAGGAAAATAAACTAGAACATATAAGATTAAAAGTCTTAAATGTATACACTTTTAGATACATCGTCTGCACTGGATTCAATGCCTTTTATCCTCTTTCTCTTTTTGACTATGTATCTAAAAGTGTACCTTGCTTACTGTAACTGTATTATGTGTTTGATGTAATTTGGGCCTATTAATCTGACATTCACTCTGTATATATGATAAATGACTTTATAAGATCCTACAAGATAAATACATGCTTCTGATTCAGTAAAAGTAAAAGGGGGTAGCAGAAGAGGGGAAAATAAGACAGGTGAAATGTATTCTGTGCCTGCACCAATCCCCTACAGAGATTACTTGCTGCAAAACGGTACTGAGAACACTGAAAAGAAATCCCAAGCAGGCACAGACTGCAGAGATGGGCAGACATCCACCGCCCACCTAGAGGTGACATCCAGAGATAACGACCGCTGTGTGTGCCCTGCCGGTCGTATCCCCAGCACTCATATCCAGAACCCACACAAGCAGTACAAACCGACAGCGGGAACAAACACACAAGACTGGAATAGGCGCCACCTGACAACAAAGGAAAAGGAGCAGCACGTGTCTGAGACACAGCAGTCATCAAACACATGCAAATGTAAGGCATGGGCACAGCCAGGAGGATTCAGAAGACTCCAAGGATGGGGTCACGAGGAGACACTTGTGTCAGTGACGTGGTGCTACGCTGTCTAATTCTCCCGGTGTGTGAGCAGTGGTTCCTCTTCCCTCAGACGCAACAATATTAGTGCTACATGTGTACCCACAGAGAAGGGCAAAATTAGGAAATCAGGGCAGGTAATTTCCCCAATTTGGGGAGATGCATATATTTACAGATTAAAAAGTACCTTGGATATCATTTTATACTTCTCATTTTCCTCCATTTACCGAGCCAAGATGCGCACACTGTGGGACCTATCACATTTACATCTAAGACACTTCTCGGATCTCACTTGAGGGCCTGAGGCAGCGGGAAATGCAGATGCACAGTGACCTGTGGATGGTTCCCGACACCCTGTGTGCAGCTCCTGCCTCTGCTTCCTGCCTGGTGCTGATGCTCACGTGAAGAAGATGATGATGAAACCACCCTTTCCCTGTGTGCCTGTGATAGCAATGGAGAACAACACGGGGAACTTGAGGGCCTGAAGCAGCGGGAAATGCAGATGCACAGTGACCTGTGGATGGTTCCTGACACCCTGTGTGCAGCTACAGCCTCTGCTTCCTGCCTGGTGCTGATGCACACGTGAAGAAGATGATGAAACCACCCTTTCCCCACGAGCCCAGGACAGCAGTGGAGAACACGGGGCAGGGGCCAGGCGTGCATTGGCTTTTCCAGCCCCACGTCCGGCTTTTCTGAGTAGTTGGCCTTAGTTGGACCCAAGTGTCCTTTCCATTCACTACAGAAGGAATGGTTCCGAATCTGACCGTCTTGGGCCACTTTGAGATGTAGAGCCGAAGGACACAGACCGGGAGGGACAACCGTTCCGGCCTCCCCAAGCCAACAGGAAGGACCGCAGGACCACACACTAAGGTGTCAGCAGAAATTGTGCTGGCCATGACTCCGGCTTTCTGATTTCAGGAAAAGGGACCTAAATAGCATTCCTATTAAGGAAAAGATGATAACGCTCCTTTCACACGCATCAAAACACCCGGGACAACTACCTTATTGACAATTCATCAGATAAAAGTGACAACAACAACAACAAATACAAGGAAGTCCTGCTCATTGGTCCCAACAGGCAGAGTCCAGGGTATAAAAAGCCCAGATGGGAAGAGACCTTCACATCCTGAGAAACTCACCTGTGACCAGGACCTGCCCTCCACACCTGACACCATGACCCTCTGCTGCTGCTCCCCCTGCTGCCAGCCCACCTGCTGCACGACCACCTGCTGCAAGACCACCTGCTGGAAACCAGCCTGCAGCTCCCCCTGCTGCCAGCCCAGCTGCTCTGACCCATGCTGCTGCCAGCCCTGCTGCTGCCCACCTTGCTGTAAAATCACCTGTGACTCCCCCTGCTGCCAGCCCAGCTGCTGTGACCCAGGCTGCTGCCAGCCCTGCTGCCCACCTTGCTGCAAAACCACCTGCTGCAGGACCTGCTTCAAGAAAACCTGTGAGACCAGCTGCTGCAGCTCCCCATGCTGCCCACCCAGCTGCTGTGTGTCCAGCTGCTGCCAGCCCAGCTGCTGTGAGTCCAGTGGCTCTGACCAAACCGGCTGTGGGTCTAACTGCTGCTCACCCTGCTGGAAGCCCAGCTCCTGCAGAACCACCTGCAGTAAGACCACCTGCTGGAAGCCCAGCTGTGTGACCAGCTGCTGCAGCTCCCCTTGCTGCCCGCCCAGCTGCTATGGGCCCAGCTGCTGTCTGCCTTCTTGCTGCTGATCAGTTCCTCAGAGAACCACTTCATCAAAGCGCACCGACTCCGTATTCACCTCCTAGAGTCTGCCGACAGCCAATGCGCTCTCACTGGAACTGCCCTCCTGTGTGAGAGGCTGCTTTAACTCCGCTTGCCGCCAGCCTGGCTGCTGTGAGTCCAGCTGCTGCCAGCCAGCCTGCTCCGGACCTGTGCACTGCACCACAATCCGCCACCATCCGGTCTGTATCTGCCTGGGTGGCAGCCTCTGCAGCAGCCTCTGATCAGGGTGCCTCCACCTGGCTGCCGTGGACCCTGCCTTCTGTCACATTCCACCTCCCCACTGACTGCCTCCGGGCCTGCAATGGAACCCTCTGCGGGCCTTGGCCTCAGGAACTCCTGCCTGTCTTCTCGATCAGGGTCTGGAGCGGGTGATTCCTGGGAGACATCCTGCTCCTTGACCCTTCCTCTCTGGCCTCTTCACCGTGTTCTGCCTTCTGAGCTCCCTCATCCGCTCTCGACCTTGACTCCTCTCCTCCTATGCAGAAGACAATCCTCTTCCTTTCTCTCCAGGAACCTACGCAATACACTAACAAAAATTTACTGCTCCTTCCCCACTCATCCCACCTTGAGTGATGGTGTTCAGGGCTTCCCCGGTGCATCCTTGTCTCGGGATCTGTTCTCTGCCCATGAGCTTGCTTTTCATTGTCACCCTGGTCACGAGGAATCTCTCCTCTTTATTTCCAAATAAATCTGTATTGCGCTGCATATTTTCCTGTGTCTCTTTTGTTCTATTGAATTTCCTTTACCAGACCTTACATTCAGACCACTGTATACTTCTGTCCTCCCATTGGAGCCCCAAAATTAACTCAGGGTGTTTGAGCCAAGAGTATCCTGCACTTCCTAAAGCAGAGAAGAGTTTCTTGTTCTGTGTCCTGGCCCCACACCCAGCTCTTCTTCCTACCTCTTACAGGTCCCAGACTTTTGAGCTTGAGCCAAGTAGGGGTCACTAAGCGCTTGAAAATTGTTTGCCTTACCTGGCCTGGCTCTGGCTTCTCTGAGAGAGGGCATCTTTACTCTTGGATATGGTACTTTCCTGTGCACAATTAGAGAAAAATGAGGAACTGGGAAAAAATACAGAGATTTAGTGCAGTTCCAATCAAAATACCCCACAGAGCTGGAGAAAACAATCCCAAAATTCCTATGTAACCAGATAAGCAAAAGCAACAAGATCAAGGCAAGAGGCCTTACAAACCCAGATTTCAAATTATATAACAAAGCTACAATGATAAAAGCAGCATGGTACTTGCACAAAAAAAGACATGTTGGCAAATGAAGCAAAATTAAGGATGAGAAAAAAATCCAACCTCCTTCAGGCTTATTGCTTTTCACAATACGACCAATAATCTATGCTGGAGAAGACAGGCTGCTCCACAAATGATGTTGGGAGAACTGGTGTCCATGTGCACAAGAGAGAATCACCATCCACATCATTCACCCTGTACTAACATAAAAATTGATCAAAGACTTAGATGTAAGACTGACAAATGTCAGCACCTTTGATCGTCAGAGTAACGCAGATTCCAGTAGCAAGGACTCAAAAAGCAGCAGATGCTGGAGAGATGGTGAGAGGAAGGGTACTTTTCTACACCACTGGCAGGAAGCAAGCCAGTACCACACTAGGGAGGTTTCTCAATAACGAAAACCAGAAATTCCTATTAGACCCACGTATACCTTCTTTTCCTACCTTCCTAAAAGAATGAAAGTCACGAGGCTGCAGTGATACATCCATGTTTACAACAGCACAGTTCAAAACAGTTAGAGAAGAGGGTTCTGTGCCCATCAACAGATGAATCGAAAGATAAAACATGGCACATATACACAATGGCAAATTATTTGCAAATTAAAAACCAATAAATTTGAGGGCCAGGAATTTAGCTCAGTGGTGCCACCACCTACCGTGAAAGCTCAGGTCCTGACTCTGTTCTGTGATACAAAAAAATAAAGAGAGAAGAGAAATGACAGATTTAAATACTTTGTAGGAAAATAAACGTATCGTAAGATCATAATGCTAAGTGAAGTAAATGAGACGCATTAAGTCAATATCATATTGAGGAAACTAAAATGCAAAAGTATTTAAAGAGCAAAGTGAAAGACAAAATGAGAGGAAACCCCATAAGTTTATGGTGATGGGAGGGGACCTCTAAAAGAAGAGGAGGAAGAGGAGGAAGAGGAGGAAAAATAATCAGGATACGATGTGTAACGGGACCAATTTCTCAAGATGAGTGCAATTGTGATGTAACACAAACACACCCTCTTAACAATAAAGAACTAATTGGTTTCTTTTCTACCAGCAATTTAAGATAGATCTAACAACTGAAAAGCATTAAATCCAATTCAATACTTTGAATAAAGAAAATAAAGACTTACTGATTACCTTAATAAGACTACACAGTGAGTTCCAGCTCACACTCAACTACATAGTGAAACTCTGTCTCAAAAAACCAAAAAGAAAAAAAGAAAAGAAAAGAAACAGCAAGGAAAGTCTTCCAGTATTTTTGTCCATTAAAGCTTTAAGAAAACTGGCAAATGTTATGAGAAACAGTGTTTCTAAAACCTTTGAATGACCAAAATTTTGAAATATTCTACGGACATTTATTTGAAAACCACCTGTACATTGTGACTTTTCAAACAACAGTATCAGACGCTTTGATGGCATTTTATTTTAGCATCTATCTCCACAGCCTCACACTTGCTCCAAAGTCTCATAGCCCACAGTCATGGTAAAAAGAACAGGAGCAGCCCGCAGTGACTGGGGTCAGCTCAGCCCGCAGCCAGGGCTCCTTCCACACTCACCCCAGGAGAACCGTCCTCACTGCCCCATCAGCACCTTCTCTGGATCCCTCTCCCTCCAGGGCGCACTCGGAGCTGTTTCGAACGTCGCTAACTCTGAAGGGCCTTTGCGTGGAGGCCTTTGCTGTGTACAAGCAGAGGCAACTGTTCATCATCGCACGACCCAGAGGTAGAGGACAGCTTGGGACAACGCTAGTATATCCAGAGCATTCAAAAAGAAAACCAGGAGAACGACATCTCCAAGGGGCCTTGATGAGCTCTGACAGACTCCGAGGAGCCTCAGAAGCTCTGCACATACATTGAGCCCCGTGTGTGCTCCAAGGGCCCGAGGAGACGCTGGGCTCTCACCTCGGGCTGACCTGGAGGCTCTGTGGCTCACACCGGAAGTGAGGGCTCAGTCAGAACTGCCTGCTGTCAGGCTGAGAGTCGGAGGCACAGCCACCAAGTGTGCAAAGGCCCTCAGCACTGAAAGGAGGATGTACAGTATTGATCTGAGGGGTTTCAGGAAATTTCTATCAACTGAAATTACTCTTATTTTTTTTTAATTTCATCAAACATACATGCTAACTTAACAGAATTATTGGAAAAGTCTCTCTCTCTCTCTCTCTCTTACACACACACACACACACACACACGCACACACAAAGATAAGATAACAACAGCAAACACACTACAAGGAACTATCTGACCTCCAAAGGGGATACACTGTGTGATTTCAAGGGCCAATTTTCAATTGTAAAAGGACATGGAAAGATGTGAGAAAATGCGCCCCCCACCAAACACAAGGGAAGAACAACCTAGGATGCCTGCTTCAAATTCCGGCCTGCTCTCCGTAATTTCCACCTGGAAAAAAATATCAGAATTAATAAAGCTATATTTAAAATACAAATGTAAAAGGTAAAACAATAAAGGTTTTGGCTGGGGATTTACTTCAGTGGTTCTGGTGCCTGCCTCACAGGTGCAAGGACCCAAGTTCAATCCCCAGTACCAAAAAAGCAAAGAAGCCAAAAAAGAATAAAGGTAACAGAACATCTTCATAGCTTGGGCTACATCAAGATTTATTCAAAAAGACCCTAAATGTACTGTTAAGGAAGTGCTAGCATTCTTGGATTGTTAAAAGTGATGCATATTAAAGTGAAAGCTGCAGTTGACAAAAGAGAATAAAAGGAAAATAAACTAGAACATATAAGATTAAAAGTCTTAAATGTATACACTTTTAGATACATCGTCTGCACTGGATTCAATGCCTTTTATCCTCTTTCTCTTTTTGACTATGTATCTAAAAGTGTACCTTGCTTACTGTAATTATATTATGTGTTTTATATAATTTTGGCCTATTAATCTGACTTTCAATCTGTATATATGATAATTGACTTTATAACGTCCTGCAAGATAAATACGTGGTTCTGATGCAGTAAAAATAAAAGGGCGTAGCAGGAGAGGGGAAACGGAAAGCAGGGGAAACGTGTTCTGTGCCTGCACCAATCCCCTACAGCGATTAGGTGCTGCAAACAGGTACTGAGAACACTGGAAAAGAAATCCCAAGCAGGCACAGATACTGCAGAGATGGGCACACACCCACCGCCCACCTGCAGGTGACATCCAGAGATAACGACCGCTGTGTGTGCCCTGCCGGTCGTATCCCCAGCACTCATATCCAGAACCCACACAAGCAGTACAAACCGACAGCGGGAACAAACACACAAGACTGGAATAGGCGCCACCTGACAACAAAGGAAAAGGAGCACCACGTGTCTGAGACACGGCAGTCATCAAACACATGCAAATGTAAGGCATGAGCACAGCCAGGAGGATTCAGAAGACTCCAAGGATGGGGTCACGAGGAGACACTTATGTCAGTGACGTGGTGCTATGCTGTCTAATTCTCCCAGTGTATGAGCAATGGTTCCTCTTCCCTCAGACGCAACAATATTAGTGCTACATGTGTACCCACAGAGAAGGGCAAAATTAAGAGATCATGTAAGGTATCATGCCCCAATTTGGGGAAATGTGTATATTTACAGATTAAAAACTACCTTGGATATCATTTTATACTTCTCATTTTCCTCCATTTACCGAGCCAAGATGGGCACACTGTGGGACCTATCACATTTACATCTAAGACACTTCTCGGATCTCACTTGAGGGCCTGAGGCAGCGGGAAATGCAGATGCAC